CGTCGCCTGCCCTGGTCTGCCTGCCCAGCCCGGCGCAGCTTCCATCCAAAAGCAGTACAGGGTGCAACGCATGCTCACCCAGCAGGCAGCACAAGCCTCCGAGCTCCAGGCTGGCCGGCGCCAGGGAGGCTGGGAGCCGCTGAGATTGCGCCAAGACTTTGCCCCAGGATGGCCAGGGCATTGAGCACAGGACTGGCAATGATTCGCCACCTTGCAGAGCACTGAAACCACTCTCAGGCTGTCTTCACTGACACAAAGCCATCCCTAAGAAAGGAACAAGACATGCCAGGAGGAGAGGGAAGATCCCATCCCCCACGCAGCAAAGTGGGCATTTCCTGGTGCCTGGCATACCCCCAGCTTCCATCTGAACTGTGGGAGCACTGCTGGCGCTAGTCACTGCTGGCGGGGCCGGCCAAACACACAGCCTACCCTGTCCCGAATTCAGAGAGATAACTACCAGCCACCTCAGCCCTGGGTCCTCCAAACCTTAGGGCTGCTCTGCTTTGCCACCCGAAACCCACTCGAGGTCAACGTACTGACACAGGTACCACCCGCGTGCTCTTAGCGAGGACAGAGGTGGCTTGGTGCCATGCTCTGCAAGCGGGCCCCTGCCATAGCTGGGAGGGCAGAAGGATCATCCAGCAGCACTGGAGCAGGGTGGGAGATGCCATTACCTGAGGAGCTTGTAGTAGAGGAAGCGGAAGGCCTCCTGCAGCAGCACAGAGAACATCACCCCAAATATCAAGAGCCCTTTCTGCAACGGCTCATCCCAAGGGTCACTGGCTTTAACGGCGATAAACCAGATGAGGGAGGAGAGCAGCAGTGACACCAGCCACATCCAGCAGCACTGGAGCAGGGTGGGAGATGCCATTACCTGAGGAGCTTGTAGTAGAGGAAGCGGAAGGCCTCCTGCAGCAGCACAGAGAACATCACCCCAAATATCAAGAGCCCTTTCTGCAACGGCTCATCCCAAGGGTCACTGGCTTTAACGGCGATAAACCAGATGAGGGAGGAGAGCAGCAGTGACACCAGCCAGAAGAAAGCCCTGCAAGAGAGAGAGAGTGCCTGCTGGCACCAGTGCCATGCCAGGACTGGTGCCAGTACCAGTGCCAAACCCATGCCCATCGGCACTATGCCTGCACCCCTCTGTGTTGATACTGACACTGGCCCAGCCAGTGCCCCAGCCTTGCCCACTCTCCTACCAGTACGAGCACCATTCTGGCACCAGTGCTGGGCAGGTGGTGCCTGTACTGGTACTGCTGCTGTGCCTGCACTCCTCCTCTGCTGGTAACCAGAACTGGCACCAGTGCCCCTGCCAAGCCCACACCAGTACCAATACCAGTGCCATGCTCATATATATGTCAGTACCAGTACCATACCCTACTGATCCCACAGTGGTACTGGTACCACCACCCCTGCTGTGCACATGTTAGTATCACTACTGACCCTGTACTGTTACTGGCACCAGTGCTCTACTGACCCAATGCCATTACCAATACCAGTGTCTCTCTCCATCATACCCACACCATGTGGTGACCACAGTGGTACCAGTACAATACCAGTACTGGAGCCCTTGTTGTGAAAAAGGCAGGTACCAGTATGAGTACTGGTGCTCCTATCATGCTCACAACCACACCAGTATGAGTACTGGTGTCCCTGTCGTGCCCACAACGGCACCAGCACTAGTCCCCCCCGTTGTGCCTCTGCCAGTACCAGTCACCTTCTTGTCACGCCCATG